GCCGGAGCCGTCACCGAGGTCAGTCCAAACACTTCAGAACCAGATATCTGAAGCCGGTTCTGGTTCTGGTCATCCTGTCCAGACCGGGTCAGTTCCACCAGAACTGCTCAGATACCTGCGGTCTCATCTGAACCGGGTCTTCAGGCTCTGGTTCCTTTAGTGTCGAGTCGATTTCATTCAAAAATACTTTATTGATCCCAAATGGGTCAAGTCTGTCGATCTGTAGAGGTCAGTGCTGCAGCGGCGCCCCCTGCTGTACAAAACAGCAGGCGGTGCTGACAGGTCCAGCTTTACTCGGGTGGGAGTCTGTCCCACCATGACAGTTGCCATGACAACCACATCATGGACATCATGTTTGTTGCATTGTGGTTGCCATGAAGCAACAAACATGGCCAATAAACATAGTCGGCCATGTTTGTCAGCCATGTTTGTCAGGTCTGACTGGATTCTTTCTGTCTCTGCAGTCAGAAGGTCAGTTTGAAAGAGAGAGTCTTCTCGTCTCCACGGAGCTCCGGAACCAAAGGGAAGAGTTCTCCTCAGCACGGTGGGTACCAGAACCAGAACTAGAACCAGAACCAGAACCACAACTAGAACTAGAGTCAGAACCAGAACCAGAACCACAACTAGAACTAGAGTCAGAACCAGAACCAGAACCAAAACCAGAACTAGACCCAGAACTACAACCAGAACCAGAACTAGAACCAGAACTACAACCAGAACCAGAACTAGAACCAGAACCAGAACTAGACCCAGAACCAGAACCTGAAGGAGATTCTCTGTAATCTTTAGAAACTGCAGCTCTGAGGAGGAGCTGCGCCTCGGAGGCGGGGCTTGGCCCACCCAGGCGTTTTGCAGTTTATTATTAGCAGGCAGGTGCAGAGTGGGGGGAGCGGAGGGGGCTTGAGCCCCTGCCCCTTTTATCCTTGATGCCCCAGATGCCTTGTTTGAGTTTTTTATGCTTTTTTTATCTGTCTGTCAGGAGGCCTGCTTGTGCCCCTCAACAATAATGTTTAGCTAAATATAATTATTTAGCAAAATAAGGTAGTCCGGCTGCCCTCAGTCTAGTAATGACTCTCAGTTTCTCTGCCTCCATGTTGTTCAGATACCGGGTCCAAGGTGAGGAGAAGGGGCGGATCTAAGCGCTCTAACTATCAAATCATGGGCAAGAATATATATCTTTTCAACATGCAGGACCAAAACCGACATACTAAGAAATAAAATCATAAATATATATTTAATTTTTCCTTTTCCTTACACGAGTTTCCGTCAAGTAATGTATATATTTTCTTTATCATTTCCCCTAAACGTTTTTGTCAAGAAAAATAGATATTTTGCTTTGTCTTTTTTTGCTTCTCCCTTTTCTGCTCGCTGTATTTCTGCTGCATCGTTATGTTAATGAGGAGAGCCGCCTTCCATGTCTACTATTGGCCAGTGGAGCTTTGGGACCAACGTCACTGCGTCAGACGTTGTGGGGCGTTTAGGTCCAGTCGCTCGGCGCCATCTTTACAGGCCACAGACCAAAACAGACTTTATCCCAGTGGCTTTATTGTTACCGACTGCAGTGACGTTAGTTGTGAGTTGGATATTCCAATATCCGCCGAGTAAGCGGCGTTTAGCTCAAGGTTGATCCGATTTATGAGCGCTAACTTCGGCCAGCCGTTCTCCAACTTCCTCCTCAGGTTCACGTCACTGCAGTCGAAACACAGAAATGGTTAAGAAAAAACTTCTGACTTTAACTTTATCATTCTCCCCAGTGCTGCACTGACTGGATGTCTGGAGGGCCCCTGAATGTCTGGAGGGCCCCTGAATGTCTGGAGGGCCCCTGGATGTCTGGAGGGCCCCTGAATGTCTGGAGGGCCCCTGGATGTC